GTGGAGTCCATCTCATAGCGGATTCCTGTACCCAGATCCTGATAGCTCTACATTTCACGCAGGAGCTATTAGCCTTCTCGACAACTACAGCACAGCGACGCTTTCTCAAATTAACCATGTAGTTAACGAAAATAGTCGTAGTTTGGACCTCTGCTTCGTGAGCACACAGGACAGGGCTCCATCAATTTCTTCGGCTCCTTGTGCATTAACTAAGCTAGTTCCACATCACCCTCCTCTAATTGTCACTGTTCTAGTCTAGTCTACACATACACAGCCAGTACTTGAAAGAATCCTGGAAAATGATACATCTATCATTTTTCTTGTCATTATTAATGCCTGCTGCACATCAAGGATGTGAAACAAACAATAAAGCGGCCAGGCCTACTGTGTAGCGTTTAGTTAATTTTTGTGGAAGTGAATGTTTACCATGTCTACTTAATAAGTATAGACAGTGGTTAACATTTAATCCACAGGTAATCAAAGAGCGGGGACATACCGTACCAACCGCTCCGTATGCAGGATTTGAAAATAGGCTATATAAATCGTTGGGAGTGACAGAGCTAAGAAAGTTAATGTACACTCCTTGGTTGTCCGATCTCCTGGGATGGAACACAGGTATTTACCCCTTGTGTTCGAGCGTACAGTCCTCCCTCCGTACAAGCGTGGACGGCACCGCCCACCCACTGCCATCCCTCAATCGATCCAGCCGACCTCAGTCGAAGGACAACAGAGAGCGGTGTGCGGACGTAACCTATACGGAGGGAATGCTGTATTCACCTAGGTTATAGCGCCCTTGCTCGCTACCATTTTCTTCTAGCGGTTGGGACCTGAGCACTAACTCTTGTCCTAGCCCTATATGGCATATGGTTATAGCGCCATTACTCGCTTTCTGAAAAGAGAAGAAGGGAAGGGAAGGAGAGGAAAAGGACTTGGAAAAAGGAAATGCGGAATTCCTTTCCTCATTAGTATTTGTATCGTCAACTTTTATGAAAACTATATAAATCATTTTTCCTTGGTCAGAGGTATTATTACGACATTTGAATAAGATTGTCTTATCATTTGTTATTCAAAATTTAATGTTATAATGATCAACATAGCCTTGGATTATCCAATATAAATCGGTAACACTGTCCTGCAACCGATGATTTTTCTAATCCGAAAACTAAAAGTTACGAAAAAGGACTGATGCCTTCATTAAGTTCCACTTTCACGCGACGTTCAATGGTTAAACAAGTAAACAAGTTATTAAAATGAAATCACGTTCCCGAAAGCAGTCAACAATGTATCTTAAACCGGATCAAGCGTGCGCCCTATTTTTCTAAACATTCCGACGCGTTCCGCCCAATATCTATCAATTACGTTTTTCTACAATAGTAGCCTGGGATAAATCCTAATTCGACCGACACGTGTTTGTTGAAAAATTATATTCTGCCTAATATCAGTAGTCAGTAGTCATTAGGAAACCTGTTACTATATTACCACATATGTATCCTTCTTTCATGAATTTGTTTTACGAACATGATCTAACACAACCTTTTTCTATGACAAAACTATATTCTGATAAAATTGGATCATTGCCTAGACCAACCATTGAAACTAAAGAACAAAACAATTGGCCACGTGTCTGGAATAATATTAACTTAAAGAACCTGAACTAAAATGAAAAATCTATTCTTTATTTACTTTATAATAGGAAAATTGATCACAGAGCTCATTTGTATCGCATAGGTATTGCTGACATCCTTAATTGCTTATCATGCGGATTCCTCGAAGATCTTGAGCATATATTTTGTCTCACCCTCCTCTAATTGTCACTGTTGAGGATAAACTCGTGCGTGATTTCGACGACTATTCTGCTACGGTTTCTTATGACTTCCGTAAAGCTGACCACCGTAGCATCATAGATGTATTGTCTAGCATGGTATGGGAGAACATCCTTGATCCAGATGACGTTGAGGCTGCAGCGCAAACCTTTTCACATGTCTTGGTATATGTCATTGATATAGACACGTCCCGAAAAGAACTCACCACAAAGTGTCTCACCCTCCCTGGCAGACGAGAGAGCTACGTAGGTTGAAGTCAATCAAGAGAGCAGCATTGAGAAGATTTACGAAGTATCGCACGCTTTCTCTGAAACTACATTATGTGAGGCTGAATCACATGTACCAGCGAGTCAGTCGTGAATGCTTTTCAAGTTTCCAACGAGGCATCCAGCGCAAACTTAAGCTACATCCGAAATCCTTTTGGAACTACGTGAACGAGCAACGTAGGGAATCCGGCCTCTCATCGTCTATGGAATGCAATGGAGAAGTTGCTGCCACCTTTTTCCGAAAAGTTTGCCAGTGTATTCACTAATGAGATACTAACTGATGACCATATTAACCTGGCTGCCAGAACGTTCCAGTAAATTATCAAACGCTGGATGCAATTGATGTTAATGCAGACCTGATGGAGTTCCATCTGTATTTTTGAAGAGACATATTGCTAGCTTGTTAATTCCGCTTCTTCGCCTGTTCCGAATGTCTCGCTCCAGTGGCATATTTCCATCTTGCTGGAAATTTGCGCACATGTTTCCCGTCCACAAAAAAGGAAGGAAACGAGCTGTGGATAACTATCGAGGAATTACATCGTTAAGTGCCGTTTCGAAGCTATTCGAGCTAGTGATTATGGAACCGTTGCTGTCCCATTGCAAGCAGTATTTGAGTGCTGATCAACATGGGTTTACTGTCGGCCGCTCTACAACCACCAATCTGCTGTGTCTCACATCGTAAATAACCGAAAGCATGTCGGATCGGGTTCAAACGGACGTTATTTATTCAGACCTATCCGCAGCATTCGACAAGTTGAACCATGCTATTGCGATTGCTAAACTCGGCAGGCTCGGTGTATGCGGTAATCTTCTGAGTTGGTTTCGATCATATCTTACCGGTCGGCAACTAAAGGTTGCCATAGGAGATTGCAGATCAGCCACATCAGGTATACCTCAGGGAAGCCACATGGGACCGTTAATTTTTATACTGTACTTCAACGACGAGCATCTGGTCATCGAAGCTCCTCGGTTATCATATGCAGATGACCTCAAAATCTTCCTACGAATCTGCTCCATTGCGTCAACTGAATGTATTCGCTAGTTGGTGCAGGTTAAACAGAATGGTAGTGAACCGAGCCAAATGCTCCGCTATTACGTTCTCACGAAAACAACAACCGATAATATTTAGCTATGACCTGCTTGGCTCGACAATCGAACGCGTGAATCAGGTGAAAGACTTGGGTGTGATCTTCGATTCGCAGCTTTCATTCAAGCAACACATCGCATATGTTGTTTATAAGGCGTCAAGAACTTTAGGGTTCATTTTTAGGATAGCTAAAGACTTCACTGATATCTACTGTCTAAAATCTCTCTATTGTTCGCTTGTTCGATCGACGCTTGAGTATTGTTCAGCTGTTTGGAACCCAAACTACAACAACAGTGCCGAGAGAATGGAATCTGTTCAACGTCGCTTTCTTCGTTTTGCGTTGCGTAGATTGCCTTGGAATGATCCGTTTCGATTACCCAGTTACGAAAGCCGTTGTCAACTTATCGACCTAGAACTTCTCCGGACTAGAAGAGACACAAGCAGAGCCCTAACCGTGGCCGATATCCTGCAAGGAAGGACAGATTGTGAGACTATCCTGAGGCAAATTGACCTGAATGTTCAACCCCGACCGCTTCGTAATAACCTTATGCTCCCCCCTATTCTGCGAGTCACGTGACTCTCTCTCACCGGTGAGGTGACAATAGTCACCTCGTGTGAGGTGACTCTCCATTTGATTTGCATGGAGAGTCACCTCACACGAGGTGACAATTGTCACCTCACCGGTGAGAGAGAGTCACGTGACTCGCAGAATAAGGGGGGCTAAGACTGCCTCTACGTCGCACAAATTATGGAGCGTACGGTGCGATTTGCGGACTGCAGAGAACATTCAACAGAGTTGCATCTGTTTTCGACTTTCATCTCTCCCGTGATGCGCTTCGTCGAAAGTTTTCTTCTGTTTATCACCGGCAGCAGTAACTGACTATAAGATATTAAGAACAACATGTGAAAAGGGCATATAAGCTTTTTGTAAACAAACCTTCTTATGTCCTATTTTCACCACCCCCATGACATTCACGTAAACCATCAACATCACTGGATAGGAGAAACTTTTCCCTTCCCGACGATGCTGTTGTTTTGCGTGAGCGACACTTGGTTGGCGAGCAAAGGGCCTACAAAGGTTTGTTTACAAAAAGCTTGTATGCCCTTTTTACATGTAGCTCTTGATATATGTTTTTTAATGTTTTTTTATGTTATGACCATGCTTGAATGTATTTTTTTACCATAGTTGATAAGGTTAAAATCATTGAGGCTTCATCCAGCCTGTTGATGTAAAACAACAATAAAATACTAGAACCGATTGTGGCCATCTTGGATTACAAAATGGCGTCTGGCATCGATTTACAGCCTCTACACGTCGTCCCCTATCCGGAAATTATCATATTGTAGGGAATTTGACAGTTTTTCTATGTTTTCTATGTTGAGAAATTCGAGAATTGAAAAAAAACTCAAAGGATGATTCCAAGAAATAATGAAAAAAAAAACAATCAACGGTGATGTCAACAGAACTTCTACACGGTCGTTAAAAAATCTCACTTAGAGAGATATTAACTTCTCTGATGAAAGAGACATTTCTAATAACGTAGGTTACTCAGCGCTGAGGTTTTCCCAATTTGTTTTAAACTGTCAACATTCGGAGGTGATTTTTTTTAAAAGAACTACTACACATTTTGAAAATCTCGGGTTTTTCAGATTCCGAACTTGGAAATTTTAATTTTTTAATTTTTAGTTTAATTTCGGATGATTAAAAACTTGATGCAGTTTGTGCTGAAGTATAGTAAATTTTATTGAATGGATTATTTTTTCTTGGAAAAGCTATGTTTAATATATATATATATATATATATATATATATATATAAGTACCTTTTGTTTCTGGTGAGATGAGTCGACTTGCTAGCTCCAATACCGTAACTACTGGACACGCCTTGCTGAATACGAAGGTAAGCCGGAATTATTCGACATGCCTTCAGCAATAAGCAGTTAGTGACGTTGATGCTTTGAGACCGAAGTAAATTCCAGATTTCACTCAAATTCAGGCTACAATTTCTCTCGTCGTGAAAATAAAGTTCACTTTAACATAACACATGCGTTGATAGTAGATATGATCAGCATACGCGTAGATTGGTTACTTAAACAAACTTTAATGTGTTTTCTTTATTCTGGCCTACTTTTGAAAGATACAAAAAAAAATGTTCCACTTCATGCCCTTTGAATTTGAACATCAAAATCCCATACACACGATGCAACTAATATTAGCGCCTTAAAAATCACTTCTTTTTTAATAGAAATCCCGTCGACATCCCCATTGCAATAGTAGCAGAAACGCATCGCAGGTATAGAGCTTTAAGGTGAATCGCTGCGGAAACCTTATTTTTGAATAATCTTACTATCACCTTAAAATTTCAAGATCACAAATTTCAGCTCCCCCAAACATATAGCAAAGAAACTGGAACTTCACGTTTGCTGCGGTGCAGTAAACAGGGAGTTAAAATTTCAAGAGCTATATCGCAACAGAGTCAGAGATTTGTGCTTAATAAACTTGAAGTGATAGGGCACATCAGCTATCATGACGGCCATCTTTGAACTCTTCCAAGAACTCGTGTTTTCCTCGAGCGGCTGTGGCTGTGACTGACAGACTCTATAGGACGGTATTCAATCAGCTTTAGCGAATAGGGTATTTTCCCATATCTTTATTTCTGTCTTTGTCCATGGGACATGACAAAATCTATCGATATAATAGAACAAAATGAATAAAACAAATTACGAATTCAGACTTTAACATTAACGTCCGAACATAGAATAGAGGTAAAACGGCAAAGTAAAATGAAAATAAATTGGAAATTCATAAACGAAAAAAAAAAAGCCAAAGGTACTATTATCTTAGCGGAACTTGATCTGTGATTCGCGGTCACGATGCAACTTCGAGTAGAGGTGAATACGCAGCTGAGGCAATGTCTCCAGAATGGTGTTGCACATCTGGCATGAGATACCGTGACGTGGTAGATTGACATCCCTGTAGCGATTGAAAGGAAAAAAAAATAATTAGAAAGCTGTCCAACGACACACCTTTTGATCAAACACATACGTGAGAGCCAACTTGTGCAGCTCGCGGCAGTGTTTCTTCAGGAAGTCCAACTGCTTGGCACTGACCGGCAGCAGGTTGAGCGGAGGCAGAAGCGGGAAAATCGCATTGTCGTAGATGTTGAAGTCTTGCTTGCGTTTCTTCGATGACGAAGACAACGACTCGACCGGATTTGCGTCTTCTTCGATCCTCCAGCTGTAGTCATTCGGTGCATGGCGTATGTCCATGAATTTACGCTCGTGTTCCAGAATTCTAAAATGAGAAACAATTATCGATTATTAGTGAGAGTACTATCGGAGGTGATATTACTGCAGGGAAAATTACTTAATGATATACTGCTTCACTTTTGCTTTCAAGTTCTCGATCGAAATGTCACCAAACTTAGGCACGGTTTGGTCCTGATCGGTGTGCAGGATGGTATCCATGGTGTACCGCAGAGCGTTGATCTGAAGAGGAATGTTTGTTTGAAAATCTTTCATATCAATGAGTGATAAAATGTCCATCTTACCTCAACTATATCGTCATCAGATAGAACGATATCTAACGTCATTGCCAAGTCGTGTTCTGGGTAAAGTGATTCTCCGGTGGTCTTATCGAAACCTAAGCCCGTAAGAAGGGAAACAACGCGGGTTCCTTCCTCATCCTTCTTCACCTGACAGGTGGGACAGAAAATCAGTGCCATCAAGACGCCAAAGCCGGGAATGTTAGGCATCAGAGAAGCTTGTCGAACGACCAAACGATTGCCTTGTTCGTGAACATACGCACCAACGAGCAACTTTTCGTGAGTATCCTGAGGATTGGAATCCAACAGGATGGAATTCACCGAATCATTTTCGATTGTAACGGGCTTCATAACTGAGGATCGGACCGTCGCTGAAGCGGTTGTCTCCAAAGGACTGTGTGGGCCCGAGAGCAAAACCTTGCATCGCAGTTTCTCTTCAGGAGGAGAAACATCTTCCAACTCATCTTCTACGTACATGGTTTGATTCATTTTTGACGAATTGTACACTTCATGACGGATGTCTTCGTCGAAGGACATTTCCCGTTGCTTACGCTCACGTTGGTCGTGATCCAACTTGGAAATGTAGCTTTCTTCAGCGTACTGAGCGAACTTCAATCGGATGAGTTCGGAATTTATAGGAAAATCGTCTCCCTTCTTCAGGATAACACTGGCCACATTATTTACTACCGAATAGATTTCCGCAACGAAAATCTTCCCGAGAGTCATCTCCTTGAAACGATTGATAGACTGTGCGGTCCAAATGCCTTGTGGTGAAATAATGGCCGAGGGCTGAACCTCTGTCAAAGAGGCCTCAAATACTCGCTGAGGAATGTCTTTCATGTACTCTAGAGGGCCGTCTAATTTCCTGAAAGCTGATTTACCCAAAATCGCCGAATGACCGTAATCCATAAAGAACACGGTATACATTACTTGATCAGTACGCATGTTCCTGTAGCTCTTCAAAATAGCTCGAGCATATCGGTCGCTACCCTCTTCAAGGGGAGCAGCTACGACTTGACCGACGCTGAATTGATAACCGGATTCAAAGCGCTCCAGCTGGTACATTCTCGAGTTCAGCTTCGAATGGATGTCCACAAATATGTCCTTGTTTTTCGTATCTTCCGGGCGCAGATAAAACTTATTGCAATGTACCACGTTCGTCACCTGACATACCATAGCGGCCTGATGGATGGCCGGAAGCACCGAGAGGTGAGCATTGCGGATCACCTTGCGCCGTGGAACCCATCCGTTGGCGTCCTCCCAGTGTCCCAGTTTCATTTCCGTTGCAAAATCAATGGCATCTCGCTGGCGCATGGTTTTGATTTCCATGATCCGGTTGCGGGCACCCAGTTTGCGCAGTTTTATGGCACGATACACGTCGGCATGTACCTTTCCGGGCATGAACGAACCCCGCTGATCGTGTTCATCATTGCTGCCGAGGAACGTGACGAAAATGCGGTTGGTAGTTCGATCGTACATGACCTGAAACAGAAGGAAAGGAGAAAATGAGTTATATATATATATATATTATCAAATTATGTTTTTGAAATCATATTGATAACAAATTTTGATATTCGTTTTTTTTTTGTCATTGAGGTTAAATTGATTAAAACAATGTATGCACATTTATCACTGAAATCAACTTTTTCAATCTTTATTTGGTATTAAGTCAAAATAAAGTATTTATATAATGAATTCCAGAATTTTAGAGATAATGTAGTGACTTCTGATAACATATTTATCAGGATACAAAGCAGGAATCACACTGCTTTGTTCATGTACAATACAAGGAGAATTATGAGTTATATCACAACATTTTTTAATAGTAAAGATTAAACTGTGAATAGAATGCCTCCGATTACTAAATTTGACATCGAAAATTTAATATCCCGGTTACTACAATTTTTAAAATAATAACAAATTTTGTTATGTTTTTTGTTTTTTTTTTTTTCTGCCATAATAATAACAATATATTGATTACTTATTTTGTTTAAATTAACGAAAATAACAACATCAAAACCCATACATAACACCGGGGTGCATTTTACCCCACCCTTTTTTAATTAGTTCGTTTATGCTCAGTCTTGTGTGACACTTTGCGGAGCCAAAAATCCGTAATTTTTAAATTAACATTTGTAACAGCAGTAAACCTAGAGTTGGTTGGAAATGCAATCTAACATGAAGCTTTTTATTAGCTAGAAAACGAGCTTAGAAGAGGGTAGGTGGACACCCTCTTCTAAAATCATTCTCTAGCTAATAAATTATTACACTAAAGCTTCATGACACTTTGATTGTAACAACTCAAGGCGGGAATAGCGGTCAACAATGCTGATGATGGTACAGCACGCAACACAAACACCCTACTGCTTTCTCTCTGAGATGACCACGTTGGTCATGACGAGAGGAGCAATACAATAGTTGGGTAAAGAAGAATTGCATTATAACACACCATCGACTGGAAATGTTCTCGGCGAACGTGGGGCTTTAGGTAGTGATTTAGGTTGCCTGTAGATTTGAAGACATACTTCAAATCTCCGCGTACATCATACGGGTTAGGCAAAAGGTGTGCGTTTGACTTTGTACTGTCGCATTAATGGCCCTTCGATCATTTTCAACTTCTATTCAATTTTCATACTGCCGTACTCGAACGGAACTATCCACCGACCCTCTTCTAAAGATCATTCTCTAGCTAATAATTATCAAAGAATCTTATTATTTATAATTATTCCTTGCGTGAGTCGCATCGCGTCGCGTCGCGTGTCGCGTCTACCCTGGCCGCGGCCTAAGGGAGCAGATGAGTTTGCTGGTCGAAAGATCATATTTGATTACCTTTATATGGGTCCCCTCACATTGCTCAATCCCAGGCAATGAGAATAGGTGCACAACAAGGCGAGATTAATGATAGAAGAATTTCACATGATGATTTTTTTCCTATCTGAACGTCACAGTTCTTTTTTTTTTAAACTTTATTAAGGAGACTTTCAGGTCACAGTTCTCTTCTAAGTTGGTAAAACGATTGGACAAGTAATTCTCTTGGGCGGTGGTTACAATCCATTACTCCAAATGTTTCTTCGAGAGCGGAGGTCTAGATGTAAGCCGAGGATTCATTCGCGTGATGTCAAGACTTATGTCCAACCACTACTCGCTAGGCGCACATCTCTATAGAATAAACCTCGTTGACAGCAATATATGTAGGTGCAGAACCGGTTATGATAACATCGATCACGCAGTTTGGCATTGCCCGGGTAATGACGCCTCCAGAGCACGACTATTGGATACCCTAGTGGTCCGAGGTAGGGTTAGGCAAAAAGGTGTACGTTTGACTTCGTACTGTCGCATTAATGGCCCTTCACTAATTTTCAACTTCTATTCAATTTTAATAAGGTAGAGAACTACTTCGGCCTAATCGCTTATTTTGGGCCTATCGAGCAGAAAACATTAAATAAATCCATGATTTCAGAGTTAACAAGTCAATTATGCATTTGGAACGATACTTTAGTTAATACCCAACGAAGTCAATGAGAACGCGTGGTATGAAGATTTGCACCTATTATTCCCAAAAACAAAAGAAGCGCTCCGACCGAATCAATTTTTATCATCATCCGATAGGCCGAAGTGAATTCAGTGGCGTTTCAATGCGTTAGGCCGAGTTTAGAATCCGTAGGCCGAGTTTGGCGTCAAGAAGCAGTGTTAGACTTTTGACAATATCTCAACGATTGGTTTCTCTTTATCAAATCTTACGGTACGTACGGAAAGGTAAATAAATTTAGAAGCCATCAGTAATAATAACATTCCGTTTGGTGCTAAACTGCGCTAGATTAAGAAAGACTAAGTGTGGGTTGTGCTTAATAGGCCGGAAATGGGGTAGTTAACCCTACTACCGTACTCTAATGCAACTATCCACCTACCCTCTTCTAAAGATCATACTCTAGCTAATAAATTATCACACTAAAGCTTCATGTTAGCATTTCCAACCAAAGCGGCCACGGATGTCATCTACGTTTTTGAAGTGACAGAGACGCTTCTGTTTGGTTTCGGAGGTTAAATCATCACCAACATTGGAAACAAAACGGCTCTTTTCAGGGCCACCAAGCTTATTACAGAAAAGAGTAGGAATTGAATTCATCTGCCTGTTTGTCCATATTCAGAACCACCGACAACACAAAATGCTCATGTAATCAAACTGGAAGCAGGGATACAAATTATTTTGATCAACCTTGATCAACTTTGAATCGCCACGGCCGGATATTTTCGATGGAAGAAGCAACAATCTAGCATCTAATTCGACGAAGACGTCAGGAAACATTTCTGGATCAACAATAGAATAGAGCCCATCAGCATTTGTAAACAAACCGTTCTAAAGCCTCACAAATCGAAGGCCGCTCACACAAACCAACACCAACATCTTGTAGGAAGAAGTTTCCCCTATCCGATGATGGTGTTGGTTTGTGTGGGTGGCCTTCGCTTTGTGAGTAAAGGGCTTTGGAACGGTTTGTTTACAAATGCTGATGGGCTCTTTCCTATTGTTGATCCAGATTTGTGAAGCCGAGTTATTTACGAAAGAGAGTGTCGATGAAGAGAATCGATCAATGTAGATAGGACCTATTGAAAAGTGACGCGAGATTTGTTTTCCGTACTGAGCTCCAGGCTTGCTTCCACTCACTTGCTATAAAAACATGATTTTCTGAATTTTGAAATCATTAGATGTTATAATCATATTTTGTACTTGTTAGATACAAGAAGAGGTTGAAAGGCAACTGTTTGACACATGAAATCTGTCAAATTCGCTTTCAGATAGTCACAATCAGCGATTTTACGACTCGCGAGCGCTCACTCTGAGTGAACGCTCACAAATAATAAAATCGCTTATTGTAACACTCTCAAAGCGAAATTGACAGGTTTTATGAATCAAACACTTGCCTTTCATCCGCTTCTTCTAACAAGTACAAAATATCATTATAACGTCGAATGATTTCAAAATTCAGAAAATCATTTTTTTATAGCAAGTGAGTGGAAGCAACCCTGCTGAGCTCCAATGCTACCGACGCCAGGGAGGCACCTCCCAGAGATGTTATGCCTTAGAACATGCCGATGGCGCCGACTGAGATTGGACCCAGGCCTGCTGGGGTGAGAGGTAATCACGCGAACCACAGACCAGACGCCGATATCTATCACGGCGAATGAGAACGACCCAAATTTGAGTTTAGTTATCTCAGAAATAAGAAATAAAGTGCAGGAACTCAGCGATGAGTTAATTTGCCTCATGTTTTCCCAGGGTTTTCCAGGATTTTCCAGGGAGAAAATCCCGAATTTGAGAAAAGTAAAGATTGGATTCACTCAGTCTATTGGCACTACTCCGAGACTGAATAAAATTTTCGTCAATCTCCTCATTTTCTGGCAGATTTTTTAGGTTTTCCATACGAAATCATGAGACAAATTTACTCATCGCTGAGTTCTTACACTTTTGGCGATTATGAGTGAACTAAACTCAAATTTGGGTCGTTCTCATTCGCCGTGTACGCAAAAAGAAAATAGCCAGTGTCGCTACTTGATAGCAAACTACTCATAATGGGAGGAGTCTTTGTAGTTTTTATACCACTTGGTTGCACATCATTCTGCTTTAACCTAAAAAATATAAAGCAGCGCTGCTGTCTGGTATCAGCTCATTTTCGCTTCGGACTGCGTGGTCAGCAATAGCAGCAGTAGGTCGTGGCTGGTCGTGGCAAAGAAGGTGCCAATCGTCATCGCAAATTCTTCGAGGTAACCACCATCCGTCGTCTGGCTCGCCGTGGCAGTGCCTGACGTATCTCCGGTCTGATCTACGAGGTGTGCTGAAGGTGTTCGTGGAAAATTAGGTCCGTGATGCTGTCACCTACTCTAAACACGCCAAACGTAAGTGGCCATGGATCCTCTTCAATAAAACGGCCCTTTTCAGGGCCATCAAGCTTACATCAGTAAAGAGTTGGAATAGAATTTATCTGTGCTTGTTTGTCCATATTCAGAACCACAAGCTCCCAACGACCACACAAACTTGGTAGCAGGGGTGCAAGTGATTTTGATTGATTCTCGTAATCAACTTTCTTTTTGAAAAAGATTACTACAAATTTGGATCGCCTACAATTCAAAAACGGAAAGAGTTGAGATAATAGATATTTCAGGCATAACATTTGATAACGGCACAAAAGCATTTGTAAACAAACCTTCTAAGGCCCTTTACACGCGAACCAAAGCACGCCCACGCAAACCAACAACATCATCGCATAGGGACAACTATTACCTTTCCGAAAGTGGTATTGGTTTGCGTGGGCGTACTTTAGTTCGCGTGTTAAGGGCCTTAGAATGTTTGTTTACAAATGCTTTTGTGCCGTTATCAAATGTTATGCCTAATTTGATCAATTAAAAGAACTTAATGCTCTTCACATTTATTCCGTCCACTAGCGGTCCTACGTCAAGCTTCCGTTCGTGCCCCTAGGCACAGACCCTTCTACTTTTTTTTTACATTTAAAGTAAACCTTTTGAAAAGTGACGCGAGATATAATTAACGTAGATTCGCACGAATCTAGACTGGGTGCTCAATTCGAGCATTGCTTGTAAAAAACTCTTCTGAACCATCAAATCATTAGAATTATTGAATCCATTTTGCTTTGACGATAATGAAATATGTATCAACTTTCAAAGCATTGAAAATGGGGGGAGAGGTGCCTAGTGCAGCTCCACTAAAGCCCATTCCTTACTCTCTCCTCTACCTGGATCCCCCCGGGACCACACTGAAGCGACTACCTTCGAGGGGACTGTGCTCATGCACTTCTCATCTCTCAGTGCTAGCTGGCGTTGCTAGATCGCTGCTCCTCTCTACATCCCAAATGACTTTCTCTGGACACATTTCATCGACGACATTCTGCACGTTAAGGACAGGCATCTCCCTGTCTCGCATCTTAGTTATCGTTATCGAAAATAATATTGTCCATGATTTCACCAGCACTCCAAACGCTGTGTCATATGACTTCCGTAGAGCTGACCATCGCAATATCGTCCATGTGCTGTCTAACCTAGAATGGGAGCATATTCTAGATCCTGTAGACGTCAACATTGCTGCACAAACCTTTTCTCACGTCTTGGCATATGTCATTGCCAGACACGTTTCCAAAAAGAACATCCATATCGACTCTCGCATCCCGTAGATGACGAAAGATCTTCGCTCGTTGAAAAGAACTAAGAAGGCTGCTCTCAGAAGATTTACTAAACTCCGCACACTGCCGCTGAAATGCTACTACATATGTCAGACTCAACCACGAGTATAAGCGGTTAAGTCGTCTTTGTTTTCAACGCTATCAAAAGAGGATTCAACGGCGGCTAAAATCACACCCGAAATCCTTCTGGAACTTCGTAAATGAGCTTAAGTCGGCTTACCCTCTTCCATGATTGTTAATTGTGAAACTGCTGGCAATCAACAAGACATTTGTAACATGTTCTCAGCCAAATTCGCTAGTGTGTTTGAAGACGAGCAACTCTTCGCTAATATCATTACTTCCACGGCCAGTAATGTTCCTTTGGTCAACCAAACGCTCAGCATGGTCGAAGCCACTACAGATACGATTTCTAGAGCAGCATCTAAACTTAAGACTTCAGCTAAGGCTGGACCCGATGGTGTTCCGTCGATTATTCTTAAAAAGAACATCACTTGTCTTTTAGATCCACTGCGCCGCATATTCCAGCGGCATCTTTCCGTCTTGCTGGAAGACTGCGGATATGTTTCCTGTTCATAAAAAGGGAAGCAAACGCGACGTAAACAACTACCGGGGAATCACGTCCCTGAGTGCTGTATCAAAACTTTTTGAATTGGTTGTCATAGAGTTCCTAAATGCGCAAGCAATATCTAAGTACAGATCAACACGGATTCATAACTGGGCGTTCCACAACTACGAACCTGCTGTGCATAACGTCTTACATCACAGACAGTTTGATTGCTGGGACCCAAACGGACGTTATCTACACAGATCTTACGGCAGCCTTCGATAAGCTGAACCACGTATGTAATTGCGATCGCTAAGCTTGATAGGCTAGGGATCGGTGGAAATCTTTTGAGATGGTTTCGTTCATACCTCACGGAGCGCCAATTGACAGTAACTTTGGGTACTTGTCGCTCAGCAAGCTTCTGCGCAAAGTCCGGTATACCTCAGGGTAGCCATCTGGGACCATTGGTATTTCTCCTTTACTTCGACGACGTTCACCAGACGTTCACAGAGCCACGATTATCGTTTGCAGACGATCTGAAAGTTTTTCTGCGCATCCGCTCACTCGCCGACTGCCGTTCTCTCAAAAATCAGATTGAGATCTTTGCTGACTGGTGTAGTCTAAACCGACTGGTGGTCAACCCAGCTAAGTGTACGGTTATTACTGTCTCACGCTAGAAACAACCGACTGTTTTCAACTACAATCTACTAGGCACGACTATCGAACGGGTGCATTGCGTGAAAGATTTAGGCGTTTTTCTAGACTCGAAGCTGACATACTCATACCATGGGGCTTATTACGGATGTCACTTCACGGTGAAAACTTGTCACTTGTCGTCACGGTGAAGTGATTCCCATTTGATTTGTACGGTAATCACGGCTCTTATTCTGCGTATCACTTGCTTATCACCGTGTAGTAACACCCGTAATAAGGCCCCATATATCGTATGTCGTCGACAAAGCGTCCAGAACGCTTGGCTTTGTCTTCAAGATTACTAAGAACTTCACAGACATTTACTGATTGAAATCGCTCTATTGCTCTCTCGTACGATCTACGTTGGAATACTGCTCTGCAGTCTGGAGCCCGAACTACAATAATGGGGCCGAACGAATTGAATCTGTGCAACGACGTTTTCTTCGCTTCGCGATCCGTAAACTGCCTTGGAGATACCCACTTCGTCTTCCAAGCTACGAGAATCGCTGCCAATTGATCAAAGCCGAGCCCTTACGTATACGAAGAGATGTTTTCAGAGCCATAACCGTCGCCGATACTCTGCAAGGAAGAATCGACTGCGAAGCGATTCTGCAACAAGTGAACATTAATGTTCAACCTCGATCACTACGCAACAGTCTTACGCTGAGACTTCCACTTCTTCGCACTAATTATAGCTTAGGGAGCGCTATTTACGGCTTGCAGCGAGTGTTCAACCGAGTAGCGTCGATGTTCGATTTCCACTTGTCATGGAATATGCTTCGCCGAAGATTCTCTGCCTTTTTTGCTGATCGAAGGCGCTTGACACCCAATAGCTAAGCGTAAAATTTAAGACTTATACATTTTTAGTAACTTGACAATGTTTTCCTAGTTATATAATATGTACTTTTTTTTACAACACATCATTGGGACTATTTCTAGTCTGTTGATGCAAACATAACAAATGAACAAATAAACAAATGAACCTGCGAAACAAGATTCTCTTACAACTGAGCTCAACGGTCAGGACAAATTCTACAATTGATACCACATTTTAACCTTCTATTAGGATTGAGTACGACCCGAGCCCTGGAGCTTCCTAGTTTGAAAAGGGCTTATCAGCTTTTGTAAACAAAACATGTTTGTTCTGACCTCAGTAAGACGCAGTTTCCAAGGGGGGATAGTTAAAACCGAGAATGAGTGAGTGAGAAACCACTTACCTTCATATTCTGAAACTTGGTGGAGTCTCCCTCGCAGAGAATCTTCTTAATCTGCATCGTGTACAGTGGGCCGATGTATTTTTCGTGATCGAAACCGGTGAAGAATACGGTGTTACAAGGATCTCGTCCACCCAGCTCGGTGAACGACTGACGTTCCATCAATTCCTTTCCGCCAACCGACATCGGAACGTAGTAGTTTGGATAGAACGCCCCGGCCATAATCACCTTCAGAATAACCGTCTTCTCACGTGAAGACCAAACAACCCGACCCGGTCCGGATATTTCCTTCATGCCAATTTTGTTGAGACGATCCTTTAGTTCACGAATCAGTTCCGCCATATCCATGAGACACTTCAAATCCAGGGACATGCGGCGAGTCCAGTTGGCCATATCACTTTCATTGCCAGCCTGCTCTTTACGACTTTTCCAAGCAATAAATGCATTCAGAATCGCAATTCCGTCACTGCCGGATCCATCGGCCCAGTACATCTTTTGTGAGTATCCCCGCACGGAGCTCTGATTCAGGAAAATGTTCTTCTCATTCATCCCCGCCGCGATAATAATCGATTCCTCCAGTACACTGAAGATGTATCCCAGGATGATCATTTTGGAAATGCGCAGATCCAGTGGGAGTCTTGCCATGATCCGTCCCATGTACGTCAAGTCCCCATCGAGTTGTTCATACTTGCCTTTAACCGTCTTCACTAGCGCTCCAAGTTCCTTCAACTGCAGAACCGTGTTTCGAATGTCACTCAGATCTGGCGGGTTCATAGCCAGCGCAAGAATTGAATGAGGTGGACCCATTTCCAACAGTTTAGCTTTCAAAACTACATTCTCCAACGGACAACGGAGAATTTCTGGCGAGGTCGAAAAGGCCATCTGATTTTCGTAGAAGCGACGATCGACCAGCCGATAGACACGACCATTCATCAGACGTCCAGCACGACCGGCTCGTTGTATACAGTTGGCCTGAGAAGCCCAATCCGTTCGTAAAGAAGAAAAGTTGGTTACAGTATCAGTGAACAGGACACGCTGTAGGCAGAAATCGATAATGTACACGACGTCCGGAACAGTAATGGAACTCTCAGCAATGTTGGTCGAAAGAATCACTTTGCGCTGTCCTGGGGCTGGTTTACGGAACACCTTCACCTGAAATTGAATAAATAATGTAATATTTTCGACGAACAAACTGATTAATAGAATGTACCTGGTCATCAGCCGGGAGCATTGAATGTAGACGATGGATGTCCAGGTTGGGTTTTTCGTTGTTATCTGGAATTCGGGACAACATCTCACGCAGAGTGCGATCCATCCGGTCGATCTCATTAATACCCGGCAGGAACATCAGAACAGATGGTTTGTACAGCAGGTTTGCTTCGTCACGAGCATCGTTCTCGACAATCCTATCGCACACGAGAACCAGCTTCGCGCCAACAGTGTACATGTGTGTCGAAATTCCAGGATTCTCGTAATCAATCGCGAAGTCCATTCTCAGTTTGTCCAAATCGTCGTAGTAGTAATCATACACGTTGTACAGTCGTGGTCTGTCGACTGAGATGATCGGTGCCGTTAGATAGCCGATTTTCTTTGGAGTTTTGAAATATTCCGAGAACGCCTTGGAGTCGATCGTAGCCGACATAAGGATAACTTTAGTTTTGGTAGAATTCGTAGCCAGGAATCGGCGAACAACGATCAACAAAAAATCCATGTCCACTTCACGTTCGTGGATTTCGTCCAAAATCACATGAGTGTAATTGGCCATAGACTTGGAATTAATCATTGACTGCAACAGCACACCCGTAGTTACGTACAACAATCGAGTATCGGGACTAACACACTCCTTCAATCCAACCTTGAACCCCACCAAAGATCCCAGTTCACACTTTTTTTCTTCAGCCACCCGCCGGGCAATGGACATAGCAGCAATCTTGCGTGGTTGAGTCACAATAATGTTGCAGTATTCCTTTCGATGAAAGGCTTCCTCCAATAAGAACTGAGGTACTTGTGTCGTCTTACCGCAACCGGTAGGACCTTCCAGTACGATAACTGGATTTTCCCGAATGCGAGTCAAAATCTCATCCTTCGAATAGCGAATAGGCAACTTGTTCTGCTTCAGGGTGAAATTGTACTTCTGGAACAAAGGAAGCATCATCTCTTTGGCCTTCAGCGCTTTAGTGTGCTCTTCATCTTCGTCGGCCATCGAAGACTCATCATCAACGTCTTCCAGATTTGACGTGCGCGACGTAGACGGTCCTGCCGCTTCGTCCAGGAAGGCCTATCGAACGGAAGCAGAACAACATAGGTTAATATTCAGTTGGGCTACATTTAATAGTGCTCTGATGATAGGTTCTACCAGCATTGTATCGCAGACTACATAAATTACGATTACAATTCATTTACTTCTGATCTGATTAACTCTATCGAATTTTCTAACATTTTCCATATAATAATTATGAAGCTTTGAAAATGCTCATGAGGGGTTGTTCATTAACTACGTACAGTTTTTTTTTTTGGATTCTTGACCCCCCTCTCCCTGCGTAGACAATTGTCCATAAATTTTTTTTAATTTGTATGGACCGTGGATGATTGCCAACCCCCTCCCCCCTAAACTGTCTATGTAGTTTATGAACAGCCCCTGAGCAGGATTGCAATATTATTGCTGATTGCATCTGAAACTGAATTTCCTAAAAAAAAAAAAAAAATGCAAAAAGTTAGTACACGTTTCCGTTCAATCGCTTTGGTGTCTTCGGAACACTTGTTGCTTTCATCATAAGGAATAAGTGCACCGAAGACACCCAGACGGAAAACAAGATTTTTTTCATAATTAAAAACGCGCTTATTTGTCCAGTTTGGCAATTATAATATAATGGAGTCCAACATAGTGTTGGCAAAATCGAACCCTTCCTGTCTTAACATCGCTGTGCTTGTTCCCACAAAAACGCCAAATACGCTTACATTGATCAGCTGGCTTTCTTCCTCCTTGATATATTTCCCGGCGTATTCCTTGCCCATTTTCTCCCTCTCCGGCATTTTGTTGAACATGGTTTTGTCCTCCACCACGGTCGCATTGCAGTAACCGCCGGAAATCACGACCCGGTTGAACGGTTTGCTGAAATCGAAGAACTCGTCGATGTCGTCCATTTTTCTTTTCAATGGAAACGCACTACCACTAGCAGCTGCAGCAAGGTTCCAGGTACTTCTTTTGTCTGCTGGAAAATGTGGATTTTGGGTTTAAACCTTTAGGAACTGGATTTAGCAGTCCACACACTTCGCACGCACCAAGAACCACGTAGTTTTACAGTAAAAATGGACAATCTTCGATTCGACTTCACCTATTATTTTTGTTTAACAAGAGATATAATATTATGACACAGCTACACAGCCGAACGATACAAGCATCAAACGATCAAACACGAATGAAGAGTGTAGGCTTGAGCGATCATAGATCGATCTTTGGAAGACAGAGCCAACATCGATCCGTCAAGGTCGACCTTTCTTTGAATATCGCCCTATCCTAGAAGAGTGCACTCTTAAAATAAATCCAATAAATCCAATAAATCACAGCAGCGGAAAACATCCATGTGAATTTCACATAACTGATCCCATAATTGGAAATTGCACCACTAAATCACATGAACGTTATGCGTCCAATCTCTATTTGATTTCTCGTATAGAATTTATTACGCTAATTGGCAAATCAAAGTTGGCACTCGTGGAGAATAGAAGAACTATGAAAGTGATGATGGTTTCAAAATTTTCCACGGGGAAGTATACGAGTGCAATCTTAAAATGCTTTTATTTTGAAAATGGAGCATTTTATTTAAATCTTGAAAGGGAGAGCCTGTTGTCAAACAGCATGTCATTATATCGCTTCTTTTGTATAATGAAAGACCATAGGCCAAAATGATTAGGGATGAACACATCGGGTTAACATTTGCTTACAAGTAAACGATGTTGAGCTGTCAATGACTCGCGCTTGTTGCAATTGTTGCTACAGATTTCTTCAGTCCGTGCTAGAAGCCTAAGTCACAGTCATTCGCGACCGAGAAGACAGACATCGTTGTTGGACGCCAAACAGAACCCGGCCATACTCGGTATGCTGGTATACATTCACTCCTCCGTAGCGGAACTGGAAGGATCCACCCAAGCTGCCGGATATCAGTTTTGTTTGCTCCAGCTTCTTCTTATTATTCTGCAGAACCAGACAGTGCGAGTACTGGTCGTGTTTGCCAAACCAACCGGTGGAATACTAATCTGAAAGCCGATTTCTTAGGCACGTTGCATTTGTCGCAGTAGATCGTCACTTGCTGCTGCACTTTCATGGAGCGGATTACAATCGCCGTGGCAGTAGTTTCGTCGTACAGATCGATCACTGGATCGATATCAACCCGATAGGTATGGCCGGCATGCTTCGCGTAGTGACGCTCGCTCATGTCACGGGGAATCCTTTCCGAACAGGCGGCGCATTGAAACTTCTGTACGAATCGATCGGGACATAGGATTTGATGTCACGCTTTTGTCTCTTGCTGCCTCGACTGCTCAGCCTCTACTTATTCATCATTCAAAACATTTTCCGGTACGGGTGCGGGTAGTGGATGTCCCTGTCGAATTGGTTGATTAGACGAGATCATCGTCATCGACAAGTACCAGTTATCAAACTTTCCAGCTATCATGCAGATGAAGTTTTCAACGGAGTAATCTCTTCCACCTATGCAGCACAAGCTCGGTTAACAAGCTGTGGCAAGTTTTTACGTCGATGCAAATGGGAAATTGGAATTCAATCTGAAATTGAAAACCAACCCTAATAAAATTGTTATGGTTATTTTCCTTAACGACGTGTTCGGGGTATCATCCAAACCATTTGTTGAATAGTTTTATTATTTGGGTTTTCGTTCATGTATGGTAGTTTTTTATTAGGGAAACAGTAAAAAAAAGTTGTTGAATATTACAGCAGATAAGCTGCACATAACATATACACATTAATCCAGTCAGTAATGTTTTACTGGGTTTTTGAATTGCGGACTGTTCGAAAAAAGTTTAAAACTCTGCAGGAAATTCAAAAATATGAAACTTTTTCTGAACTTGTACAGATAAAGTTCTGTTAATCTCATTTCTTTTTTTTCCTTTGATTTGTTTTTCGTCGATCTGGTTTTCCGTACTGAGCACCAATGCTACCGATGCCAGCACTGATAAAAATCCCCTTATACATTTTGGCAAATTTCCATTGCTGATTATTCATAAAATGTATAAGGCTACCACCAACCAATTTGTTCCGAACGGCCGGAAGACCAATCTGAGGCATGGGATGCTCACTATGCCCCACTTGTTCACTATGCCCCTCTTACCCCTACACTAATAAAATTCTAAACTTAATGTTTATTTTGTCTGTGCACATAATTTTTATAAGATATTCAAAACATTATGTTTATACGTGTTAACATAATTTTCATAATAAACCCCTTACCTACTATAAGCTAGCCCATATCACGTATATGCGTGACAAATTTTATTTATATGTATGCTGCCATAAAAATTATGGTTCGAATCTCATAGATGAAGGTTATGTGTTTTCACACATAATGTTTAAGTGCTTCAATTCAGTGCACACTATTACACAAATTGTGCTAAATCATCTCAATCTTCCAACAAAACTTGAGCATTCTCAAAGGTAAATAATAATTTATCTCATTTATCTTTAACTATTTACCATAAAACTATTATTTTCGATTGTTTTCAGCGACACAAAATTCACATAAACATTAGCCAACAGCCGTGATGAGCTCGGAGAAGCTTTAAAATCAGAGGAAACCTAAATCTTCCGTCGGATACAAATGACGTGGCAAACGTGAGTTAGTGCAATAAATATTATTTGTTTGAAATTATTTATTTTTTGTGAATTCTACACAGGGATTCTTCCTGCTGGACGTGCAGGAGGAGGACGTGGAGGAGGAAGACTTGCAGGAGGAGGACGTGTAGGAGGAAGACTTGCTGGAGGATGACGTGCAGGAGGAGGAAGTGCAGGAGGACGACGCGCAGGAAGAGGACGTAGAGACTAAAGGCGGCGATGTATACGCTAGACCCTCCAAAGCACCTTCGACCTCGCCTTCGACATACATCGGAGGACTCAAACCAAAAACGCCTTCACGCGGGAATATACAATCTACTGACGTCAGTGACGGTGTAAAATCTTCAGGAAAATAAATAATTTATCAGAGTCTGTATTGTTATTATTTTATTTATATTTTTAGCACATAAAATATATGAAATTGACACGTAAGCGTTATTATTTGTACCATGACTTTCATTTGAATTAGACACATAATCTTTATGTTCTACCGAGAAATAAATGTTATAAACGTCACACATAAATTCTATTTACCAAAGCAAATTAAATTCATTTCTTATATGCCATTGAATATATTGGTGGGAAACCAAATAATTTATATGTTCTTCAAACATATTTTTTATTTGTGAAGTCTAATTGCAAAAAACTATGTGGTTTCACACATAAAAGGTATATGGAAATTCACCTCGGTGTACCATAAAATCACAACGAAAATCATGGTATATGAGAAATGTACAATAAAAAAGGGGGCTTGGTAAGCTAAGCATCTTAAAAATAAAAAAAATGATTTTTGTCGAACAAATTTGATCTCATCAAATAATTTTCATTGATAATTGTATCGTTAAAAACGAAATTTATTATTCCTCCTTTCCAATAATTTAATAATAAATTTTTAATGTGCCCAAAATTCAACCGTAAAATTCATTGTAATTTCGTTATTTTATTATAATTTTTTTTGCGTCCATCCTCGGTATGCATTCGTTACTCCGTAGCGGAACCGGAAGCTCTCGACGAGGGCGATCTAAAGGAGGAAAATTTACTCCAAAATCATGCCGAGATCCATCGAATCAAAGAGGCGATCGACGTGCTGGAGGTGAGAATGAAGGAGGATCGGATGAAACTGATTTTTTTTAATTTATTACGGCTAGAGATGCTGTATGTCAAGCGTTTGAGCATGATTGCGGTACGATGCACTATTCTGGACTGGTCTACTATACGTGGCAAAACTAGTCATTATACTGAAGACGAGGAGGGAATCTTCGGATTCATGGAGGAGGACATCGGACATCAGAAATGAGGAAGCTGGTATGCGAGGACAAAAGTGTTACATCTGCAAGGGTTGATGCATATATTATGTCACGCTCTAGGGGGGGGGGGGGTCTAAGATTTTGTGACAAGCAATGCATTAGGTATAGGAAAAACGTCACGATAGGGGGGGGGGGGTGTAAATTTCTCTTCGATTTAGCGTGACAAAATTAATGCATGGGCCCCAAGGAACGGTATGCGAACGTTTTGTATTGCACGAAGAAGTGCTTCCGTTCATTTCAGACGCTTTGTGGGGTGCAGAATGAGTGCCTGTCGCATTACGTGGATACGTTCCAGTCGTGGTGCGATAAGCACGTAGCGCTGGTGGGTAAGGTGAAATAATCTGGGACCGAAGCCTGTGGGATTTGCTACGATGAGATGGGACCGTACAGGAAGCTGGAATCGATTCGTGCTGTCAGAATGTCTGGTTCCATCGGAGCTGCATGGCACAGTTTGCCCAATCGGCGGGGTACTTTTTCAAGTGCCCTTTGTGCAACAACAAGGACGACTTTAGTCAGCAGATGCAGCAGCGTGGCATTTATATTCCACTGCCACGAGGAACTTCCGTCGAAAAATTGCTTCGAGCCAAACCGGTCGTATCAAATCGTTGACTTCTTCGGACAATGAAGACGAAGCATCCTCCGCCGGATCGTCGACCGTGTTCGATTTCAACTATCGTGTGAATTTAACCAAAAAAGCAGTGCCGAAAATCGATGGTAGAATTGCAGTCGATCAAAGAGTTCATCCGTTCCGACACGGACACGCTAACGGATGCCTCGGTGGGACAGGAGATCGTGCGTCCCAAGACGCCTGCCAGAAATCTTTTGAAAATCTGTTCAAATTGTAGCTTTTCGGGTCGAAAACCGTCCCACGAAAACGGTCCACCAGCGAGTCTGATCCGGAGTACGTTACAGCGAAGAAAATTAGGTTGATTTAATTTTAATGGTGACCTTCCTTAGACGGTGAATTTTCCAGTACTAGTCAGGTCTTTCCCACGGCGCAGTGGATTACTGCCAACGGTGCCACCTCAAGTGGGAATGCGATTCGAAACCGAGTTGACGTTGATGCTCAAAAGTGAGAAAATGTTCCGGATTTCACTACCCACACAGAAATTTAAAACAACCCAAAATTAAGTTCTTTTCACTCATCTCCCATGTTCCGTACAATAAGCCAAATTTGGGTAAACCGACTCAAAGTAGTTTGCATTTAAGCACGGCAAAAAAAATTACCCATCGCTA